CCGCGGCGGGCGCACCCGCGCCGTTCCGCGTCGCGGGCGCCTCCCGCCTGCGTCGAAGACCGGGCGGGGCAGACATGCCTTCCGCCGTGCGCTCTCGCGGGTCAGGGCCGCGGCGCCTGCCTAGCTGCGCAGGCGCCCCTTGACACTGCCACCTGCTCGGGCCGACCGCTCGGCGGACGGCGAGGGCACGGCGCTCAGCGGCGCCCTGCGAGGGCCCCCCAAAGGTGTTCCGACGTCCGGTCGCTGACGGTGCCGCTGGGGGGACGTGCCAGGAAGTGGATGGCCTGAGCGAGCGACTCCGACTGCGTCCGTGCCGAGGGCCTCCCTTCCTGCCCTTGATGCTCAGAGACGCCCCAAGGTGAACTGTCTTTCGAGGCTCGCCGGCGATGAATCAGATGATGTGCCCCACTGCGGAGTCGAGCTGCGCCGTTTCAAATCGTAAGACGCCACTCGGTGCACAGCAATTGCCTCACCGTCAGCTTGCGCAAGTCGTTCAACGAATGGGGACAAGCTCATGGTGCAAACCATCTCTTGCACGCGGGCGATGCCGATTCCGATGAGGTCGGACCCAGAATCGATCAGCGGACACAAGATGTCGTAAAAACTTGTCCCACGCACCACAAGCAGCAATTATGCGGGGGTGGGGTCCTACTACCACGTACGATGAGCAGGTCGTCCGCCAACCTGATTGCCAACACATTCTTCCCGAAGAGGTTCCTGGCTTGCTGCGGACAGGTCTCTCACGAAGGACTCCTCGCGGGATATGGACTGATGATGCTGGTGATCCTTCCTGGCACCCCTGACACTGGCGATGCGAACAGTGTCCAACGTAAGAGAAATACTGCTTCGAATCGACTCTAACAACGTCAGCAGCGTCGCCGACTGCCACCATGCCAGAACTACGTACAAGACCAGTGTTCGAAATTACAAAAAAAAAAAAATGCCGCGCCCAACCAAACGTATAAAGCATACCATTTTTGCACCCACAGAACTGATGTCAATGTTACGGGCACACAACTGCAAGATCCGCCCGACCTCTGGCAGTTCGTCCAAATGCGAAATCGCGAAATATGCCAGCAAATGTATCAGCTCTTGCCAGCAAATGTATCAGCTCTTCTCATGGCTGGCGCATCGGATCTGGACATCGTACGCCGCAGTGGTTCGCTTTTGACGTCCAAGTTTTGGCAACCTTCGCAAGCCAATGTCTGTATGCCGCCCGCTGCATGCCCACCTCCAACGGAGAGTGCTAGGGGCTCCTGGATAGTAGTGGGCACTCTCTGGGTGCATGCGGGAACGTCTGATCGAAATCTGCATCGCAGCTTCCACCACCGCGGTAAACCAGTGGCGCGGGCCGAAACTGGTTATCTACGTAATCGCATATGTCATATGTGACCCTCCGACCGTCCGACGGGGAACCACCAATATTCCTTTTCACGAGCATCTGGGAGAACGCCGATCTACGTAATCACATATGTGGCCCTCCACCCGTCCGGAGGGGGGCCACCAATATTCCTTTCGCGGGCATCTGGAGACGACGTCAAAAGCAGATGGATTGAGCCAGCCGCAGAACTGTTTGCACGAAGCAACTAAACAATCAGATGTGCAAAATACTTTCCCCTACGTCACATCTGTGGGTTGACCCGTCTTCTCTCAGAGCTTGCGTAGGGACGCGGGAATAACTCGATGGAGTCATCGTTTGAACCCTGGCATGCCAATGGAGGTGTCCTTGACAATGGTGGTGACGACCCGCGTATCCGAAAGGCCTCGAATAGCTACACGGTTGAACATGAAATTATTGAATACATCCGAATCCAACACACGTGTTGCTTCCATCAATGCCAAGGTGGCCGGAAAAGCTGGATGGAGCAACTACTTGCAGAATGCGGCAATATGTCCTTCGCGTCTGCATGATAGGTCGCCGAGACACGTCGATGATGTCAAACAGTCGACTTGTCCAACAGGTGATGCGTATACCCTACGTCAGTGTTCATTTCGACGTGTCTGAAGATGCTTGGGCGGGCGTTAGATGGGCGTTCTGAGGAATCCCTTCTTCGGCGGGGTCGGAAAAATGTCATCCACATTTAACCTCGCTGGTTTACCAACATTGAGACAATGTTGTCTTTCACGTTTACTGATCGCTTGCGCAACATCACGGCGACCGCCTCAACCTCAAGGATGAGGCGGTCCCGTGCACAATTGCACCAAAATTAACACATCAACGTGCCGGTGCTTCTCGTACAGCGTCTCTCGCCGGTTCCTGTCCAGCATAGTGGATCGGTGGGACTCGAGGCGTGCCCACGGGATGAGTTTGATTTGGCCCATGTACATGGTGCGATTGAACCTGGCAATGAACCCATAGATGCAGCAACCAGCGTTTTCACTGGGCGGTGCCAGCTCCAACCTGCAAGCCTCGATACTTTTGACGTTGTCCAGCTGGTGAAGTCGAAAAGAAACCTCTGCAGACGACAGGCTTGGCTGATGCCACTACTCTCGCAATGCACCCGTACATCTTGATTGCAAGCAGCCTGGCCTTGTGGGAACAGTGAACTGGCGGCCTTCGGTCTTGGACTGTCGGCCGACTGTGATCTCGATAATCGATTTTGCCGGAAGGCGTCTCTGCACAACTGCAACAACATTGAGAGTACGACTCTACGCAGTACAAAATAACGTGTTGGGGGCCAACTCCTGGTGTGTAGAATCTTCGAGTAGATGCAAGAGCGCTGGAGAAACACTCCAACTTCACGGTATAGTGCACGTACCTTGCCCAGGGTACGCATCATGGAGGCTCACGAACCTGCGCACAATGGCAGATAAAGCAACAGGGGACACGACTGCAAGCGTGCCCGTGGAAGCAATGGGTCAATATCATACAACAAACTTGTGGCCGTCGTGGCGCATCTCCCGCGGCCCGCTACGTGCCTCAGGCGATGGCCACGCTCACTGGGTGAAGTGATGCGTTCATGATGTCAATACGAAGAATCGAATTTGACATGCTCACTGCAAGAGGTACACACACCAGTGGTCTACCACTGCTCAAGCCAACACGAACAACACAGACAACACGTCGTGATCTGACACAACATCGATGACTGGGCTGGATTCGTAGGCCAGCTTCGAGAAGCCGACGCGCTGGTGGGCGGAATATCGAGCACCGTTGTGGACCGGCGTGGCCAACTTCGCACTCAGTTCCATCTTCGTCCCCGCCTTCATCACCACGCCCTATGCTCGGCGAAAAGCGTGCTCCAGGCGTTGCCGCACGCGCTCCGGCACACACGTACGAGGCCTTCGCGTTCTGGGCGTGCTCCCCCCGTCTTCCGCGCGCTGCGAATTCCGCCCTCGAGACCACAGTAGGCCACGCGCGTCCCGCTTCTGCTCTGCCTTCGCGCGCCGTGGAGCCTCTCGCTGCTGTGGCGAAACATCCAGGCGTTGCGAAGCATACACCCTGCGAAATGCTTAAGAAATCATGGGTTAAGAAATTGATAGTCTCAGAATTTAAATAAAAACCCAGAATGCCCATTCAAATCTTGAGATTTACATTGAAACATGAAGAATAATCGAGACTCTGGCCGAAAACTTAGGTTTTCTTAAGCATCGCCTGAGGTGTACAGGGCTGCTCTTGGTCCTGCCTCCTTTGCTACGGAGGTGAAACCCGCATTGGCGACGTGTAGGTTCGAGCGCGCATGCACCGACAGCGCAGGCGCCCCGAGCTTGTTCTGCTGAAGCAGGGCCTCTCCATGGCAGCATGTCATCACCATCACCATCCGCCATCACCACCACCATCATGCACGTCTTCCTCGATTTGACGTGGGGGGGCAATTATTGCGGCGTCCTGCGTGGACGGAGGGCCGGAATGAGAAGGTGCCGGGGTAAAGAGGGGGCGTTTGCAAGGTGGGGCAATTCTCATAAAAGTGAAGCAAGCGCGGTTCCATTCTGGGTTCTGCTCGCCTCTGTACCCTGGACCAGGAGAGCACATCCGCGTGTTGATGAGGCGGGGAAGGTACTATTGGGAAGAAGGAGGGGGGGAATGATGACGAGGAGCAGAGGAGGAGAACCAGCAGCAGGATGGAGGACGAGAAGCACGAGGAGGATGAGGAGGATGAGGAGGAGGAGGAGGAGGAGGAGGAGAAACACGTAGAAAATATCAGGATGGGGATGGGGTGGGCTAACGGCGGCGCGAGGCAGCGCGCACGCCGAGCGGGAGACCACGCCAGGGTTGATGGAGTGGAAGGCCAGGCGCGGAGCGTCGCCGTACCTGTCGGGGCATCCCCGTCCCCCTCTAGCAGCGCAGCCTTCTCGTCCCCCTCTTCCCTCTCCTGCTCCGCACCCGCATCACCCGCACGTCCTTTTCATCCCTCTCCTCCCTCTCGTCCCTCTCCTCCTCCTCCTCCTCCTCCTACTCCTCCTCTTCCTCCTCCTCCTCCTCCCTCCTTTGATGCTCCTCCTGCTCGTGCTGACCTTCGCCCGTTCTCCTCGTGCCGCCTTGTCCATCCTCCCCCTTCGTCTTGTCCTTTCCATGTTGCTCTTTATTATCCTGCACCTTCGCCTTTCTCCTTCTCACCCGCCTCTGCCCCTCAAACGGTTCGTTTTCCTTGACCTCCTGCTGGCCACGAGCTGACCGCACGAAGAACTGCCAGCGAACCAGGGGGGGTCTCCCGCCTCTCGTGCATCTCGGCTGCCATCATGACGTTCATCAGCTTGGTCGAGGTGTACTGCTCCATCCCCCGCCATCTGCCAGAAGTGGGAAGTGCGACCAGAGGGCTGGAGAGACCAGGTGGGGGGGGGGGAGGAAGTGGAGGGAGGGAAGAGGGGAGAGGGGGTGGAAAAGAGGAGGAGAGGAGGGGAAAGGATTGAATGAGGGGGTGGGGGGGCGAGGAGGGGGGGGGGTGTCAAGGGGGAGAGGGTGGGGGGAGGGAGAAGGGACTACAATAACAGGAGGGGATCAGGATGGATATCAGCCCCAGCCTGAGGGCACAGCGGTTCTCACTCTGCAGAGCGGTGGGCAGGAGGAGGCGGCGGAGGAGGAGCAAGAGCTGGACGAGGCCTGTGAGGAGTGGGAGGAAAACGGCTAGAATAAGCTCAGAATGCATCAACGACGCTTCAATACGTCGTCCCGTCCCAAGTCTCCTCCCCCGAGGTCCTACAAGCTCTTCTTGTCACTGCGGGGTGCATCGCTTGGAAGACGAGCACCCCCCTTCTGGGCCTGCCATTCAGGCGAGAGTGCAGTGTTTGAAAAGATATTGGCCTCCATCCTTCTACCCAGCAAGAGCACTGGTGGGCACGAATCAGCAGGATCAAACAGTGCACGGAGACGTCAAGCGAATCCAGCGGCAAGCCCTTGTTGAACAGAATGCGCCCTCAATCCGTGAAGCTGGTGAACGACTTTTCATGGGCGCCATGCTCTATTGACAAATCTCCAGCGATAACCCAATTTCGAAAGGAACCGTCCTCCGCCCGTGTCGCAATTACAGTACGTTACACTTGCCGTCACCATCCCAGGAAGGTCTGAAGCAAGGGCCCCAATTTGCAAAGGAACAACCCTTCATCTGGGTAGCTATGTGAGTTTGCAAGGCGAACGTGCTCGGCGCTACGGCGAGAACCACATTTTGACACGACCCGCCATCTTTCCTTGTTGCTCTCGGAAAATTTTAAGAACAGAGCGTCCGGTGACAAGGCGGAGCACACACACACACACACGCACTCAAACGTTGCAAGCGCCCCACCCTTCATCCTTGTAGCTCGTGGAATGTCAAAGCTTCGGGTTCATAAACGGTGAGGAAGTATCAGAAACGAACTAACGCCTGGCTCGCCATAACGAAGCGTCTGCAAGGACCAGGAGCATGATGCGGGCAATGAGGAGAGCAACGAGGAAATCCTCCTTCGTCGTCCTCCTTCGGAGGACTACGATAGTGAGACGTTGAATGGATCAAGAGGGGAGGGGCAGCGGCCATAAGCGACAACAGAAGGCGCCGCGACGGGAAATGTCCCCTGCGCCGAGGCGTACATCCGCGTGCCTCCCTCCAACCGCGATCATCCTATCCATCCCCCTGGTGATGATGAGAAGCCACTCTGGCCCAAGACATGCGCGCAACCCGCTGGCCCCGAGCGAGCCCTGGAAAGACGGCAGGGCCGGCCCGCGGTGGGCGAGCCCGAGGGTAGAACCCTGGCCTCGGAGGGAGAGTCAAGGCTCCAAGCGCTGCCAGCTGCAGAGCCATGGGGGGGGGGGCGGGGGCGTGGCGGGCGGGGCGGACGGGAGACGAGGGGGCGCAGGACACAGGACGGGCGAATCCGCCGGCCGTCAGAAAGGCATGTGGGTGATGGAACAGTGCCGGCATTGGATGAGGAACCTTTGGATGCGGAGCCGATGGGGCTGGAAGTCCGTGAAACTCGAGCTGTGGATTGGCCATGGAAATCACTGCCGCCTCCAGCAGATGAGGAATCACCCAGGGACTGAAGCCTCAACCGAATCGTTTGTTCCCAAGTGCTCCAAACTCGCTGGTCTCCAGCCGCTCGTGATCCAGGGGTCCCGGTCCTGGCGGGGGGTGAGGTTGGTGTTTGGGGGGCCCCCGAGAGCCACCCATGACCGCTCCCGCGCCCCCAGCCAGGGGTCCTGCCCGGGGGGAGTGCTCCTCCGCACACGCGGCGTGCTTCGGCGGTGCCCGGCCCTCCAGGAGCTCCAGACCTCTCGGGGCTCCCCTCCTCCTCTCCCGCTGCTGCCTGCCGCTGCCGGCGGGCGGCTGCCGCGGAGCGTCGTGCCACGGAGACCCTCGGGATTTGGAAACCAGGGCTGGACCTAAACGGTGCTTCTTCTCTTTCGTCTTGTGTTCGTTTTCCTTCGTTTTGTCTTCAATCCGCCTTTACCGCAAAACGAAATCGAAACGAAAACGGCCCACGAAACCGCCAAAACACCGTTTAGGTCCAGCCCTGATAGAAGCCAGCACCCCTCTTGAAAGCTCGGCTGCACGTGGAGGAGCGAGGAGCGCCAGAGGGAGGCGCACGGAAAGGTTCTGCGGAGCATCGAGCCCCTTCCGAGGCCCCAGGGGGGTGGGGCGAGGGGAAGGCGGCGCCGGCCTTCTCGTGACGGACTCGATGTCCCTCAGGCCTTTGCCGTCGCCCAGGTACTCCGTGGCGGAGAACACGAAGCGACCAGCGCCGCTCCTGGGGGTGAGGAGCGAGAGGAGGAACGCAGAGAGAGGGGGAGGAGGAGAGGGGGGAGGGAACGGAAAGGGAGGGGAAGGACGACGATCAGATCTCACCCACCCGGGTGGAAGGTGCCTACGAGGAGGTTGGAGCCCCCCTCCGCTCCCTCCTGCCATCATCCTCCCCCCTGGAAGCCTCCAGCGGCCTCCTCTTCAGCCTCCTCCTCCTCCTCCTCCTCCTCCTCCTCCTCCTCCTCATGCTGCCACTCCTCTCCGAGGACAGGCAGGTGGGACGGGCAGGGGGTTCAGCCAACGGCCGCCAGAAGAGCCCACGCCACCTCACCAGAACAGGAGCGACAGGGCGCGTGACTCGGCAGGGCGCGCCTCAGGGGCGGCCCATGGCAGCAAGATGGAAGGCACTCGGGGCGGAGGGGAATACGAATAATCATAGTAATGCTAAGAGCAAGAATAATAAGGGAAACCATGGTGATCATAATCTGAGAGTAGTTCTGCAAAGAAGAAGAAGACCACTTATACGAATACACACAAGAATAGTAATACGAGCACTAAGAAGATCAAGCGAGAGAGAGGCTCGGCCTTGAGGCCCCAGGAGGTCTCAACGATGCCGCAAAAATGGCTCCGAGGCGCCTCCCGGGAGACATCAAGAGGTCTCTTGAAGAGCCATCTTGTCCACGATCCCCGTCTGACCCGTCTGTCCCCAAGAGAGCCCTAAGGAGCAATCGAGATGTCTGCGTTTCCTCCTCCTTCTCATGCCTCTCGCTCGCCACCAGCACACCAACATACATTTAGCAACAATGATGCAACATGGGCCGAATGAATGAATGAAACAAATGAATACTGTTACTAACAACGTTTAGTGTGTTGTCACATGCCTGCTCAAGCGTGCTAGCAATGAGCACTCCGAACAACCTCCGACAAGTCGTTGCTTCGGGCCGAAGCGAGCGAGGTCGGAGCAACGCGCGGCGTACAGCGCCTAGTCCGTGGGAGCTGGGGGCGGATCGCAAACCGAGAAATACGCACGGGCCAGGGAGGTTCAGGGAAGGCCAGGAGGAGGAGGTGGAGGAGGAGGACGACGACGAGGAAGCCGAAGAGCAGGAAGCAGAGAGAAAGAAAGACAAGTGGGAGGGTAATGGGGAGGGGAGTGGACGAGAGGGGATGGGAAAGGGGCCGCTTTCAGGCCCCAAGGGGCGCCCACGACGAAAAAACACGGATCCTGGGATGGGATCGGGAGCTCTGTGGACCCACGCCGCGGAAAGGATCGCGACGGTCGATTTCCAGGTTCCGGCAATCGCGTGTGCAGCACGGTGGCATGGTCTTCATGCTCTGAGCGTGCTCCGCCGTCTTCTCCCCCGCTCCCGCGCTCTTCCTTCTCCCGTTGTGCCCAATGAGGCTCTGATGTATCCCCCGCTGCCCCGAACGCGTCTTGGACCGACGTCGTCGCCGCTGACTAAAAAATGCAGCACGGTGGCAACGACATGCACAGTCGCAGCTGGGGGAGGGGAGAGGCTGGCGATGCAGGCAGAACGAGGCCGGAGGAGGTGCGAAAAAGCCGTCGATGCCTGCGGCGTTCGCGTAAGCGAAGGCGGGGATCACGAGGGTTTCGGGCCCCTCTGAGCCCTCTCAGATCTGGCTGAAGCAAGAGCGTGACCCACAAACGCCGACCACAGCATACCCCAAGATGGAGGACATCGGTAGAACATCAGCCACCGCTAACACAACGACAGGCCGATTCGGAAGGAGGTGGGTCTCCATAGGGTCCGCAAAAAACTACCAGACGCGCAAAAGTAACAAGGAAGGCTTCATTACAGCCCACAAGTATTCGGGGCCAGCCCACGATAATGCAAAAAAGGGCCCCAGATGGCCTCAACACAGCCCAACTGGCACCCAAGACGGCCCGAGAGAGCCTCAGGAGGACCTCCAAGAGGGCTCCAAGAGATAAGAGCCAGTGATGCTCATAAGGCTTGTCGTAAATTATCGACGTGCTCGCCATTTCGATCTCCAGGGTGTCCAAGACAGGCACGGAGGCCGCGAATGTTGCTCCAAGACAATCTAGAAGGCCCCCAAGAGGGCCCCCGAACGGCCAAAGAGGCACCCAGACGGCCCGACCAGAGGCCCCAGAGACTGCCAAGACCCCGAAGGCTCCCTTGAGGGCCCTATGGGCCCCCGGGGCCCTCCCCCACAAAATGGCCCCCAAAGACCCCTAAACGCCCCCAGTAGTCCCAAGAGACCACGAAGAGGTCCCCGGAGGCCCTCGAGGGGGCCCCCAAACGGCCAAACATGGCCTCTTGGATCACGGCTTTCGGAGTCCCAAACGAATGCACGGTGCCAATACGAATCCACGGCAACGCCCCCCAGAAGAGAGACATCCAAGGTTCCCAAGGGGTCAGCGGGGTGCGTAAGCCAATGAATCAGTGGGCACCTGCGCACAATGCAGCCGGCGAGAACACTCCGGGAATGATTTCCGCTTGCGCGTGGTAATCGCCATTCATGGTCGATGGCAAGTTCGCTTCCGCAATAGGGGGCCAACTTCCAACCGGAGCACTAAGCAAACTCTGCGTCAGCCGTCTGTGTACGACTGCGTGCACACCGAAACTGGGCCCGTCTCCCAGATCAGGCCATTGAAGCCATGGACGGAAATCGAAGAGAGGGGACTTCTGCATGATCGGCGCTTGCAGGCTGTTCACGTTGCAGGACGCGCGGGGATCCACCATTTCTCTTCGAGGTATTTTTACTCGATGCGAGCGCCGCAGCCTAGGGCCCCTTACACTTGACACGGGGGCGAAGAACTCCCCTGACTTTCGGCAACCACCGAACGTCCTGTGTACACGAATTATGGTATCCGTCCTCTACACACCAGCGATTTGACACCTCTACACCCGCTCACTGCCATCGTCATCATCATCGTCCTCATCGGTGTGAACAGCTTATAGCGAGACTGCTGGACTGGCACGGTGGCGAGACTTGCGGCAGGCACCTGTATATGCGGCCCCCCTCCCTGAAGCGACGAAGGCCTCATCCCTGATATTTTGTCCCTGGGCCCCACGACCTCGGACTTCAGCCCGCTGCCACATCAAAACCCTGGACCTCCTGCAAGACAGCTCCATGCCCACGTACCCCACGGCCGGGGCTCCAGCGCAACATTCCCCTGCGAAATCCTGCATCTTTTGTTCACGTCGTGGTCTCGGCTCCGTCCCCAGGACCCGTTTTGCATCTCGAGTCAGTCTTCGCCGGACCCTGTGCCCTGGAACGACTAAAGGGCGCTGAAGATGCACAACGAATGTGAATCGTAAATCGTCGTGACTAGTCAAACACCAGTAGCCGACACCGGATTTTCGCGCATCTGCGTGTTTCCCCTGTCCTCCGGGCCGACTGGCCCCTCGTGCCGCAAGCCTGCAGGCCTCGCCCACTCCGACATGCGCTCGCCTCGGCCCCGTATAGGCTCCTGGTCCTCGCCACTACCCCTCCCCGACCAATCGCAGTCCTCCTCCTGCCTCCCCCCCTCCTCACCAACACTCGGGTCGGGCGAAAGGGGGGGATAGCAAAGGGGGGGTTTGAGAATCAGCTCACGTGGCTGATTTTCCCAGCGCCTCCCGGCGCCGGAGGCGCCCATGTATCGAGGAATGGGCCCCTCGGTGGGGCCGAAACCAGCTGCATGCCGCAAATTTCGTAACCCCCCCTTTCCCAATCCCCCCCTTTCGCCCGGCCCGACAACACCACCACCAACCCCGACCACTTCTACGATCAAGACACTACCCTCGCCACCACCGCCATGCCCCTCCCCGTGCTCCCTCCTGCCTCCCCCCCCCGCCCCCCTCGGGGTCGACGACAGGGGCGACTGTCCCAGGGGAAAGCAGTACACCCTGCGAAATGCTTAAGAAATCATGGGTTAAGAAATTCATAATCTCGGAATCTGAATAAAAAACCCCACATTTCTATTAAAATCTTGGGATTTACATTGAAACGTTAAGAATAATCGAGACTCTGGCCGAAAACTTAAGTTTTCTTAAGCATCGCCTAAGGTGTACACGCAGCCAGGGACGCCGATGGCCCATGCCTTCGGCGAGGCCTCCGGAGGGATGACGTGCAGTGCCCGTCCCTGGGCTGCTCGGCCCCGTCGTCGCCTCCCACCCCCTCCCGTCGCCACCCCTCGTCCTCCGAGGTCCGCCCACCGGGCCCGGCGAGCCCGATGGGGGGCGAGTGTGTGTGTGTGTGTGTGCGCGTGTGTGTGCGCCCGTCCTCTCGAGGCACGGCATCAGCATCGAGGTGAGCAGGAACGGCGCCATGGCGTTCACGGCCAGCGTCATCTCGTGCCCTCGTCGGAGGCGGCGCCCGCCCCCGCTCCCGGAGCCCGAGGCACGAGCGCTCCTCCCCTCTCCCCTCTCGGCCTTCCCGTGGACCGCCCGCACTCCCCCTTCCCGGCCCTGCTGCTGGCCTCCTGCACCCCCTCCTTCCTTCCTGCCCTGGTGCCCCATTCTCCAGGGCCGCTTTCTCCTGGGCCCCTCCTCGAGGCTTCCCCGTCCTCCTCTCGACTCCTGCCGCCCTCCGATCTGTATCCCGCCGTCCTCTTCTTCACCCCACGAGCCCCGTCTGGCCTGGTCTGGACATCCTGCCCCAATCTGCGGTTGTGCTCCCTGATTCGCCCTCTCCCGACTCCTGCCCTGCAGCACCCAAGCAGCCTGACGAACCGGCCCCATCCGTCACGCCATCCCGAACACAATCTTGAGGCTTGCCCCCGTTTCCGAGACGCGCCCGCAAGACTGCTCACCGACCTGGCCCTGCAGATCTCAGGGACAGCGATGCGCTCGCCACTGGCGAGCATCCTCCCGACGCAGCGCAGGGCGCCCTGCAGCTCGTGGGCTCGACCGACCGCCTTCGCCAGTCCAGGTCGACAGGTGGGCCGTCCAGAGCGACCGCGTGCTCGTGTGGCCCGGTGTGCGTTTGCATGGCCTGGCACGCGGCCGGATGGGTGATGCTGTGGCCCGCGCTGGCCTCTCAATCGCACCAGTCCTCTGGGCGCAGGTGGTCTAAAGAGCTTTCTCTTCCAACCGCCTTCTTCTCCTTCGGGGAGGGATTTACCCCTCTCCCCCGAACCCCCTCCCCTGGGCTTGGGCGGCGGGGTCGCGAGGATTTCGAGCGTCCAAGATGGCCCACGACGGCCCCCAGAGCGCCTCAGAGAGCCCAAGATGACCTCCAAGATGGCTCAAGATAGCCCCAAATGCCTCAAGATGGCTCCCAACATGCTCCAAGAGGCCCCAAGAAGGCTCCAAGACGGCTTCAGGTGGCCACGGAGCCTCCCCAGGAGGCCGCTAAGAGGCAAACATCCTTCCAAAATTAAGGGAACATCGCGGTTGTTTGCTTGCTCGCCTTTTCGCTTCCGATGGCCCAGGCCTCAAGATGGCTCAAGATGGTCCCAAGAGGAGCCCAAGAGAGCCCCAAGACGGCCCCATGAGCGCCCAAGAGCGCTCTAAGAGCGACCCAAGAGGGATCCAAGAGGCGATTTTAGGCACTCTCGCGGGGCAATGCTGATTGCGACCCTCCCCTTCTCTGATCGATGTCATCCAAGATGGCTCCAAGAGCGCCCCTGAAGCTCTCAAGAGCGCCCAAAGAGGGCCCCAAGAGGCACCCAGACGACCCCAAGGGGCCTCCAATAAGCCCCCAGGAGACCCCCAAGAGGCCTCAAGAGGATCCCCGAGGCACCCCAGACTCTCAAAGACGGCCCTGCGCCCGCCAAGATGCCCCCCCCCCCCCCCCCCAGACGCTCCCCGAGGCCTCCATAAGAATTCCATGAGACATCCGAGGAGACTCCGAGAGGTGTTCAAGAAGCGTATGGCTATACTGTTCGCCTTTTTCGTCCTCCTCCTCCTCTTCCTCCTCCTCCTCTCCTTCTCCTTCTCTTTCTCCTTCTCCCCTCGCTCGTCCGCTTCCTCATCCTCCTCACTCGCCTCTAACCCTTCTGTACGTCCTCCTTCTCCTCTTCCCCTTCCGTCTCCTCCTCATCCTCCTCCGTCTCCTCCTCCTCCTCCTCCTCCTCCTCCTCCTCCTCCCCCTCCTCCTCCTCCCCCTCCTCCTCCTCCTCCTCCTCCTCCTCCTCCTCCTCCTCCTCCTCCTCATCCCCGCATCCCAGTGACTTGAAGGCTCTGATCTGAACACACGCAGTCCTGGGGCCTCATCATCCTCCCGCGCCTCCAGGTCCTCTCCCTCCTCTTCGTCCCTCCTTCATTATCTCCATCGACTTCCCTCCTGCTCCTCCTTCCACTCCTTCTCACCATCCTCCCTCACCATCACCATCACCATCCTTGTCCTCATCATCCCCCGCCTCCTCTCATTAGAAAAAGCCGCCGTCCTTCGTTGCTCAGTTCTTTCCTGCCTGTGAAATCGCCATCGATGCTCGCCGCGTTGTGGAGGACGCCGTGGATGACGGGATATCGTCTGCGGAGGGAAGGGGGGAAGGAGGAAAAGGGGACGAGGAGGAAGACTTGGACTTCTGGGCTGGGGTGTTGGGCGCAACTCAAGTTCAAACCAACTTGTGCACGATTGAAGGGCCGACAACCTCGCTAAACCCAGCGATGCCGACTTGCCACACACGGAGTTACTGACACGCTACACTTGGTAAGGAAGGCGTACGCCCTGCGTGTGCAACAAGATGCCGGCGAAGCCGACGACGGCACCAATGACCTCCGCCACCGCAGTCCAGGCAGGCCAAGGACCCGACGAAAGGACAGAGCGAAGGGTCCGAAGACGCCCGCACGGAAGAGGGCTCGACATACACGACAGGAGCCGATCGAGACTCAGTCGAGGGACGAGCGGTCACCCCAACGAATCGGCTTCGAGGGGCGCCCGTCGCGCAGCCCAGGCTTTCACTGACCAGATCTTCCTCGCCATCATCACCTCCACCTGCCCCCAGAACATCAACGGGCACGGCCTGAGATATAGCAGAGCTGATGGGCACAGGAAAATCAGAACACACGGGCATGACGGACGGGGACAGACGACAAGGCATCAATGCGCCTCACTCCAGAGGCAGCTCACTGCAAGTTTATCTTGTCGCACAGCGCGTGCGCTACAGACCTCACTACCCGTGGCAGACCTCCGAAATTGACGACGCGCGCGACAGGGGTCGGCAGGAAGACGGCACGAACCTTCGCAACGATTTCGAATAACAGGCTCAGCAACTGTACGTAACCCCCTGCTCAGGACGCAGTCCCCGAACGGCTAAGACGCCCCCGCCACGAACCACTCAAGCAGGAACGGCTGCAAGGACAGTTTCGGGGATAGGCGCAGCAGCTGCACGTACAGTTTGGCTGGCCCTCTGGAGGAGCAGACCCAGAATGCCCCACATACTTATTCAACGTGAAGACTGCACCGCTGTATGGCACCAATTTGGAACATGCGGGCCAGCTACGTAAACGCCCTTGCCGAGCCGACGTCCCATCCTCAGGACGTTGAACACGACCTGCTCCCGCGCGGGAGACGCGGGCACGCCCGTAGAGCTCTTGGAGGCCTCTACAGTCACACACGGGAAACTGAGCGTGTGGATCCCTACCAACCTCCTCCTCCTCCTCCTCCTCCTCCTCCTCCTCCATTTCCTCCTCCTCCTCCTCCTCCTCCTCCTCCTCGCCTTCTCCTCCATCCGCCTCCCCTCTCCTCCGCTCCTCCTCTCCTCTCCTCCTCCTCCTCCTCCTCCTCCCCCCCGTCCTCCTCCCGCTCCGCCATCCCCACTCCTCCTCCTCCTCCTCCTCCTCCTCCTCCTCGTCTCCTCCTCCGTCCTCTTCCTCCTCCTCCCCCCCTCCTCCTCCCTCTTTCTCCTCTCCTCCTCCTTCCTCTCCTCCTTCCCTCCTCCTCC